CCGATCAGCACCTTCACACCCCAATGTACTTCTTCCTGGCAAAATTGTCTTGCCTGGACACGTGCTATAGCTCTATCTTCTTGCCAAAAATGTTGGCCAACTTGCTAACTGATAAAAGAAGCATCAGTGTAAGAGAATGCCTAGCCCAATATCATATCTTCTGCATTTGTGCAGCTCTAGAAACCTATCTTTTGGCTGTCATGTCTTATGATCGCTATTCAGCAATTTGTAGACCTTTGGTCTATGCTTCTGTTATGAACAGGAAATTCTGTTTCCAGCTTATGGCTGGGATATGGATAAATAGTTTCATATTTAATGTTGTTCTGATCTCTTTTGTGGCTCAGTTATCCTTCTGTGGGCCTAATGTCATAGACCATTATTTTTGTGACTTGCGCCCACTGATGAAATTATCCTGTAGTGACACAAGTCTCTTTGAACTCTTTGCTTTTTGTATGACCATCATTTTCACAATTCCTCCATTTCTGTTGACCCTCATTTCTTACATCTGCATCATTTGTGCCATCCTCAAAATCCAATCCACTACTGGAAGACAAAAAGCCTTTTCAACATGCTCCTCTCATCTCATGGTCGTTTGCCTCTATTATGGCACATTAATCATTGTCTATGCATTGCCAGACACTCCCTCCCTGAGACCTCTCAATAAAATCTTCTCCATTTTCTATACGGTCATGACTCCTTTGGTCAACCCCTTTATCTACACTTTAAGAAACAAAGAAATTCACAAAGCACTAAGACGACTTTGTGATAAAATGGTTTATGGCATGTGTCACCTGAAACTGTTAACTTCTTTTCAGTTTACTAAGTAGTCAAATGTTTAATGTAAGCATGAAAATCTGGTGTCAATAATAGACTGCTACTATGTTCAGCAGTATTGGTTGAGGAGTTGGATGGGTTCATGGTGGGGAGAAAGTTTAACAGCTTTGCTCTATTCCTGAATCCAAACCTAACTACCTTTCCTTTTCTCCAGCTTTTTTTCTGAGCTTGTTCTGTCTCTTTCTTGTTGGGCTTCCATCAGTTTGAATAATTATTCAAAATGGGCACTTGATTTGAAAAGTTGTTGATATTTTGCATCTTCCTTGTTACAGAAGGTAGAAATTTCTCTGCATTCTTTTATGCATTCTGTAATATTTACAAGTTTTTAAATGTGTTTCCATACCTTGACATTATCTAGACTTTTCATAATTTTTTTTACTGAAATTGTGTTTGAATTGTGTTTGATAATTGTCTCAAACTTTGTGGCTTAAAAAAAAATCTCTGTTACTATAAAATATTTTTCTATGATTATTTATCTTGATTGAAAGATTGTGTTTTATTGTAATATATGCCTAAAATATTCTTTTTTGATATAAACTTGTTATGAGTTTAGTGATCAAAGTGTTCCATGTATAGGACTGTAAGTAGTGAAAAATGTCGGGAAACTCACATGAATTTTGTTTTAGAGCTACAGAAAAACTTCGATTCTGTGGAAGAAATTAAACTTCATAGCTGTTGCCTAGCAAGCATGTAACACAGTTTCACAAGATGTATTAAATAACTATTTAAGTTTAGAATTAGTGGGAAATTTTTGAGTATGTCTTGCACATGTATACTTTGTATAAGATATGTACCCTATATGGCAATGCTTTGTAACCAATCATGTATTCACACATTTGTATTTCCTTGTTTTCTTGTGATAAATGCAACCCAATTCTTATGTTTTGAATCTTGTCCTTGGAATGTTACTGAACATGTCCATGTCTGCTTGACCAAGCTCTGCAGATCCATAATAAGCTTTGGAGACTCTGCTAAATTGTGTCTTGACTGAGGAGACAAATGACCCTCATTGTCTTAAGCAACTGAGAAGGGAGGGCTATCTTGTTCTTTTGCAACAATTCCTCATATGCCAATAGTAAGTGGTACTTTTAGGAAGATAGGGTATAATTTTGCCATATTGGAATTGCTTTGCAGGCATTGGGGTGTATAAACAGCATG